CTCAAGTGTTTCAGTCAATATTTATGTAATGTGCCATACAATTTATATTCCAGAAATGGAGATTTATCAAAACCATCAGGCGGTCCACGAGGTCGCAATTTTATACAGATGAAGTGGAAAGAGTTAACGGGATTACTAAATAGCGATTCTTCAGGAGATCCTAAGAGTGAGGACAAATGGCGTAAGGTATGTCAAGTGTTAACTCAAGGGACGCTATTTTTTTCTGCTGAAGCACTTGACTGAATCTACTAACTTTGTTATTAATCTTTCTTGTTTAGAAATTCTAATTTAATGTTTGTTTGTTAATTAAGGTGTGGAGTGATTATAAGAATAATTGCAAGAAAAAGTGTGCTAAAATTAATAGAGCTGCTAGTGGCACTGGTGGCGGACCAGCGCTCCATTTATTATTGACTGACCAAGAACAAAGGGTCATGCAGATAATTGGAGTGCAGGCAGCTACTGGCATGGAGATAAAAGAAGCTGGGTTTCCACAAGTTAGCTATACTTTACATTTCAATTGTGCAATAAATATTGCATGTAGTAAGTAATTTTTTTTTATTTCAGGAAGAAATTTCAACTGAGATGCCAAATACTCAAATTATTTTAAAGGAACCGGAAATAGGTGCGTAGCCCTTTTAATTTTAGATTTATTGAAGTTCATTGTTTCTTAATACTGTATCTTTATACATAAAATAAGAAGGATATCACAGCTGTGATATCTATGAACCTAAATGAGACTAATTGTATAAACTGGCTTATTACATATTGGAATAATTTATAGATTGGAATGCTCCTAGCACAAGCAGCCAACCAACAGTGGCTCCACCACCACCAACTGAGGCTCCCCCTCCAGTCATTAACGAGGAAGAGGAGTGGAACCCTCCGCCGCAGAAAAAAAGAAAAAACAATTTAACAAAAATGTTTTTAGATATAGACAGAAAGGCAAGGGAGTATGCTTCAGAGCGTGATAGGGTATATGAGGAATTAGAAAGAGATCGGTTGAGAGTTAGAGAATTTGAGGTACGTGAAAGAGTAAGACAGAGAGATGAAGAGCTACGGATGCAGGGTCAATGGCTGGAATTTATGAAAGAGGCAATGGAAGCTTTTGTGAGGTTTATGGAGAGAAAGTCTTAAGTTAAGCTTAATTACTATATTTTTTTACCAACTACTTTTATTTTACCAATTACTTAATTATTTTATTTTATTTTATTTTACCAATTACTTAATTATAATTACCAATTACTATATTTTTACAAAATTAATAAACAAAAGTAAAATTATGTATGAAGTCTATTAATTTTATCCACTAAAATACTTCTTATAGCTCTACCCCTAATTAACCCATCTCCTATAGTATTCTCTTGAAAAATATGTTCAGATATTGTCATAGCCAAATTGGGGTTTTCAATCTCTGCTGGTTCTGGTTCAGGTATGTTGAACTCAATGGCTAAGTTGTGCAATACACAGCATGCTGTTATGATTTTTGCACATTTTACTGGAGCATAGTGTAATGTGCGATCCTTACACAAACAACGCCATCGGTTTTTTAGTCGCCCAAAAGTATTTTCAATAGCTACCCTGGTCCTTGCCATCGAACTGCTCTGTATATTAATACAGCTGGAGATTCATCAACAGCATCTAAAATATGAGTGTCAGTATAACCGGGTCGCTTGTGGTAACACAGAATCACGCTGAGAAATAATATAAAAAAACCTAGTTAAAACAAATATAACTTAGTCTGAATAATTGTAAGGCTTAATTAACTAAAATATTAACTAACAAAACCACACCCACAACTTGCTCGTTATTGTCGATGTAAGCTCTCTATATAATTGCTTATACCGAAGCTATCTTTTCCCAAATAAAAGCGTCGTGGGTGGCTCCTCCGTATTTCGCATTTACGTTTAAAATACGACAATCACTATCACAAATCTAAAATTGAAGAAAAATCATTACATCAGTTTAATTTTCTATTTTACTTCATTTGGACACGCCGGCGGAGCTGTGCTTACCATTTGCACATTTAATGAATGGAAATGCTTTCTACTATAATATACAATGTTCGACTTCTTTGTTTGGTGTGAAATATGGAAATAGAAACATCATGCATGCATCCTAATAACTGCCTGGCGAAACCATAACTGTATGCAAAAAATCTCTAAAGGTAAAAACTCAAAAATTGGTGGTTATAAGGACTGGTAGAACCTCTTAGTGAGTTCCGCGCGGTAGGTACCGAACCGCCCGCCTATATTTAGCGTGGAAGCAGTAAATGCAGTTTCGGTTTGAAGAGGTGGGCAGCCGTTGTATAGGTATAACTGTGAGACCCTTGCAGACTTAATATCACTCAATGGTGGGCTGGCGCATTTTTAGCGTTGTAGAATGTCTATGGGACCTCACAGTAAACCACTATAACAGCAGCGTGGGCTGTGAGCTCGTCCACCCATCTATAAAGCAAAAAAAAAAAAAAAAATAACAATACTGACTTTGTAGTCCCATAAGTTTAAACGACCAACATCGTGATGAAATATAAAAATGACATGTTGTATAAAAATCTATAATAAGATGATTCACAAACTTACTGTGTCTTTCTATACATCTCTAAGCTCAGGCTCTGCATAAAGAGAGAAATTTTAATGAAAGTATCTTAAATTGGGCAGGAGTTAACAAAGAGGCATTCGCTGTGTTTACTTCTTCACATTTGCTAACAGGATCGTTATTGGCCCAAATATTTAGCCATTCCCACTAAGCGTTGGTAAGATCCAGTGGCATAAAAAGATAGCGCGCAAAGAACCTGAAATGTTTGAATTTTATGTTACATTTAAGCTTTTCTCACAATAGAGACTTGGCACTGCCCTTAGCATTGCTAACATACATGAGCGAGCGAGCGAGTGAGTTACCACTTACCATCA